TAGCCAGTAGCAATGAAACAGCACACATCTGTAGCATGATGACTATCACAAGATCATGTCAGCCAGTTCTTGTCAGCACTGATAAAATTCTCAACAAGGTCATCTTAGTCAGATCCGATGCCATTGAACAGATGAAAGATTCACATTGCATCCAGTTTAATTTGCTTATAGCATTGAATGTGAGTGCAACACTACCATCAAATCTGGATTGAATCCATTTGGCTCAAGCCATATCTCGCTTGAGTATCTCAATTATATTTAGATTATATTTCAAACATGATAGATGCACAGCTCCTTTTCCTAAATCATTTACACACACATCCAAATTATCATTAGCTTTCATAAATCAATATATAAATTTAAAACAAAAATTTAAAAATTATGGACTATGTGTTGATAGTGAGAAATATATATACAATTATTTTTCAATATGTATGTGTTTTTTTCATATTTTTTTTTATAAAAAAAATCTCTAACAAATATTATTTAAAGTTGATACAAAAAAATATCTAAACTAATACAAAATGCAATATATAATTTATTTACACACAACAAAACTTATATCATATAATCTTTTCAAAACAGATACCAATCAGAAGATGAGTGCATAAATTAGAAAACATATTCACAATTGCTTCGTTGTATACTTCATCATTATTATAGAGGATCAATAAGTTACCATACATTACGCGTAGGCACATATACTTATCACTAGTTCTCCTTGTACCCGAATATAGAACGATATACATAAATACCTTGAAATACTGCTACCCCCTGAACACGGAATAGTTAGGGCACACAAATCAAACTGTTTTTCCATACACCCAAACACGGAACAATTATGTATGAGTACACACTTATCACTTTGCCAATAGACCGGAACACGAAACAGTTATATATGGGTATATACTTATCACTTTGCCAATATACCCAAACATGGAACAGTTATGTACGGTTACATTAAATTCTAACATAATGCATATATTTTCACAATAACTTCTTTTCATAATGAGTGATGTACACATATCAAAATCATATTTGAAATTAAAAAGCAAAATAATACTTATATCGAAGTAAAATTTTAACAAATACTTACTTAGCAAATACGAAAGATAATTCGAACACTTTCACATTTTCATACTATAAATATGTAAAATACTTCAAAACTACGAAGACTAATGAATCCATAATATCCACTTATCTTAGGTTTTTAATAGTCATAATCTTAACTCCAGCAGAGTTTCGGCTTTATTTATGATCTTTTCCTCTCAAAAATCCGGCAGAGTTTCGGGATTATTTTTGGTCACTTTCTTAACTCAAAAATATCCAACACAATACTTAAAAACTAATCTCAAAAATCAAAGAGAAACCAACATTCAAAACTTAAGAAAATTCTTACCATCCTAACGATTTATAACCTCCTTTTAATCGTGAGCCTTCTTCATCTTCTCTTCCTCTTCCTCTGCTCTCACAAATTTAGTAGAGTTTTTACAATGTTTTTATCTAGAATCTCAAAATACTCTAAAAAATCACACATTTCGTACTCTTTCTTCTTCCTTCACCTCTACACTTCTCACTATTTTTCTCTCATCCGGAATGTCTCTTCCTCCCTTTTCCATCGCCTATTTATAGGAGTGGGGAGCTACGAGAAAAAGGTTGTCACCATTCCATCACGCCACTTCATCCAAAAGTTGTTACCTTTCATCATGTCACTTCATTTAAAAGATTATCACTTTTCACATGTCGTTTTATCTAAAAGGTTACCATTTTTTACATGTTACTTCATTTAAAAGGTTATCACTTTTTGCGTGCCACTTTATCTAAAAGTTGTTATTTTCTATGATGTCACTTCATCTAAAAGTTACCACTTTTTATATATTACTTTATCTAAAAATTGTCACTTTTTGTTATGTCATTTTATCTAAAATTTACCACTTTTCATTATACTATTTCATTTAAAAGGTTTTTACTTTTTTGCAAGTCTCTTCATGCTTATTCTAGCTCCTTCATCCTCCATTCTTTTTCCGTTTGACTCCAAACTATATCCTTAACCTTATTATATATTTCCAAACACATATAAAGACTAAATTAAATATATCAAACATAAAAAATTAATTCAAGGTTATTTTCAAGCTATTACGTCCTCCCCTTTAAAAAAAAAATGGTCCTCTAAATTGGACTTATTAGTGGTCACAAATAGATGTGGGTATTTGGCCTTCATTTCCTCTTCTGCCTCCCATATGGCTTCTTCAGTTGAATGATGCTACCATAGTACTATTACTAAGGAGATTACCTTGGACCATAATATTTTTTTTTGCGATCCACTATCTACACAGAAAGCTTAATATAGGATAGGTTGTCCTGAAGTGCAAGGGGTTCATATCGGAGTACATACGATGGATATGAGTGATATTTCTTCAGCATCGATACGT